CAACGCATGACAAAGAAACCGAAACGATTTAACATAATTGAGACGGGGTCTTCCAGTGGCGCTTGGGTCAAATGCGTTGCGCAAAGATCGCGAGAGGAGCCAGAGCCACTGGCGGAGGAGGTGCATTGCCCCCAGTTGGGTGTCGTTCCGGGCGGAGAGGAACCAAGAGAAACCAAAGCTGGGAGCGGTGGCGTTGGCGGTGGCGGGACAGAAATCCGTCTCAGATGGCAGCGGCCACACAGGCAAGTGGAGCAAATGGCAATTGGTTACTTAAATGGCGCATCAATTTTCCCAGCCGACAAGGGATCGCTGGCTGCTCGACGTTGTGGCTGCAAAATGTATCTTTAATTGAAATTGAAACCGTCTCAAGATTCTATTAGTTGATGTTGATTTATGCCAAAATACTCACGCTCTGCGCATTTATCAATCAGAAGCTCACAGTTCACCACGAAATTGTACACATTTCGGCGAACTTCAATTGCTAGGTGAAGCTTGCAGTCTTCCAATCAGCGATACACGTACTTCACAGATAGCAAGATAGCAGCGTTCTATTTGCTAGGTTCGCCTACAAGGAAATTAAATTAAGTCTAATGGGATCGATGCGATTTTATTCAATGGGATGAAGGTACAACTTATACGTATATGACTGCACACTTATCCATAACTTCTTTACAGTTGATATGCATCGAAAGCTGAAGGCCAAGAGAATTCGAAACAAGACAAGAACCGGCAAAAGAAAGTTGAAGTCGCGTCTAGCGTAACACCGTTTTCGTTCACTGCCCGGAGGAGAAGCGGAGAAGCTACCGAGAGATCCTGACTTGCCCACTGAGATCCACACTGTGCCAAGATGTATAAGTTGCTGGGTAGCCTGAAGAGCTACCTCAAGTGGCAGGACATCCAGACGGACAACGCCGTCTTCCGGCTGCACAACTCCTTCACCACGGTGCTCCTGCTCACCTGCAGCCTGATCATCACCGCCACCCAGTATGTGGGCCAGCCGATCAGCTGCATCGTCAACGGCGTTCCGCCGCACGTGGTCAACACGTTCTGCTGGATCCACAGCACCTTCACCATGCCGGACGCCTTTCGCAGACAGGTGAGCTGAAAATATACCCTAGCATACTTTTAGACAGCTCTTGGGTGACTCTCTAGCCCTTTTTTCCACTGCATCCGTTCGCTTAGAGCCTTTGTGGCACTTCCGCTCCATTCAAGCACAGATCCAGCACAATTTAAAATGATTTCCCATCTACTGCGATCGCTTGTCTCTCTGTTAGTTTTATTCTCCTTTTTGATCGCCTGTCAAGTTTTCTGTACGCGAGACACGTCCGACCCTTTGGACTTCATCCAAGGTATTCATATATATGTACTGATATTGTGTAGTACAACACTCATAATTCATGCCCGGCCTATAAAGCAATTATAAACTGGGCGTTGTCTGTTGCTGCCTCCTTCTGCTGCGGGCTGCGGTTTGTACAATCGGTGGTAGTCGGGGAAAAAGAGCCAAATCAAGAACACCAAAAAACCGAAATTGAATTCCCCACGATTGCAACTCCAATGCCCCCTAGCACTGGGAAAAATCGAATGCATTAAAGATCAATTCAATTCAAACGACTTGAAGTTGCTTGGCTTTTCATTCAGATACTACCCAAGTCTCTTGTGATGGGGTAGTAATCGCTTCAAGTAATATCCCCAGAAAATAGGGAATGAATTAAGTAGAGAAGTGAAACCTTGAAATAACACCGATCATTTTCTTGCTGTGCACAGCTCCTCGGGGGGATGGGCTCATATTTCATGCACGGCAGGAAACAGTTCGATTACTGCCTAAGCCACGATTTCGTGGAAATATTTTTTGTTTTTTGTTTTTTTTTTTGGCAGTTTAGCCGATCAAATTACCAGCCAAGTCGCACTAACTAAGTGAACCGAGCATGTTTTGGAGTATGTGGGCGGATTAAATCAGAGAAACCCTGAGGAGAACTCAAGTCTGGGAACGCAAGTGTCCGTTTAGCGTGTTTTAATGTGACTATCTGATGGAGGTGACAGATTGGGTGTAGATTACGAGCTACACGTTGGTACTTTATATCCTCCTATATCACATATTTATAGAGCATTTTCGCTTTTTCAGGTTGGTCGAGAGGTGGCTCATCCCGGTGTGGCCAATGACTTTGGCGATGAGGATGCCAAGAAGTACTACACCTACTATCAGTGGGTGTGCTTCGTGCTTTTCTTCCAGGTGAGTTTCGCATTTACTTCTACGATTCTGTATCATATATATCATACATGACATATATTGCACGAACAATTATCATATCTCTGTGGTGTGAGTACCCACAAATTGGCACCTATCGTTTATCTTGCAAGATTAAGATCTTTTGATGTATGCATAGATTCGAAGTAATCCTCTGTTTTTTTTTCTGTGCACTATTGTATGCTTCTGGTCTCGAATTTTCGACGCAGAGGCAATCGCTCCAATTAAGTTCAATTGAGTGCGTGGCATGTGTGGATATACATATATGGAGATACAGGGGAGTGCTATATGCACTGATCAAAATGTTTGTATCCGGCTTGAAATGCAGGGGTCTTACTAAGGCAAAAAATAAGTAGTAGGTCAGTTCGGGATAGCTTCAGGTAACGACTTCCATTGGCAGCCAACTCGAAAATCTGCTTTGGCATTTGTTCTGCTTTCAAACAAACCTTTGATGGATTCACATTTTTTTTCCGTGCACTTGGGATGGGGTTGTGTTTGGAATGGGCTATGGGTCAATGTATTGCTCAAGCGATATAAACAAATGAGAAAAGCGCAACAAATGTGCTCCGAACTTGTGAAATACCAAGTATAATTAATGACTTGCTAAATAGTTTGAGCAACATGAACAGTGGCATTTACAAGAGCAGCAATATCAGCTGGAACGTGTCAATTGCTTGGACAGATTTCAATAAAAATGTTTGTCTTTAAATATTGCTGTATGATATTGCTATATCCCAGTTGAAAGAAAGGAAATATACATGTAGATAAGGTTCAAAAAGTAAAACAGGTTTACTGGTATCTTCAATTAAAGCAAAAATGGGTATAAGCAATTTTTCTGATACTACTTCCTAATGCATTTTAGGCCATGGCCTGCTACACGCCCAAATTCCTGTGGAATAAATTCGAGGGCGGCCTGATGCGCATGATTGTGATGGGTCTGAACATCACGATTTGCACTCGCGAGGAGAAGGAGGCCAAACGCGATGCCCTGCTGGACTATCTGATCAAGCACGTGAAGGTGGGTGATAGCCGGAGCTAGCACTTTCGATCCCCAGACTGATCGTGTTTCTATATGTATTCTATATTAGCGCCACAAGCTGTACGCCATTCGGTATTGGGCCTGCGAAGTTCTCTGCTGCATCAACATTATCGTGCAGATGTATCTGATGAATCGCTTCTTCGATGGCGAGTTCCTCTCGTACGGCACCAATATCATGAAGCTTTCGGATGTGCCGCAGGAGCAAAGGGTGGATCCCATGGTCTATGTGTTCCCCCGGGTGACCAAGTGCACCTTCCACAAGTATGGTCCCTCCGGTTCGCTGCAAAAGCACGACTCCCTCTGCATCCTGCCGCTGAACATTGTGAACGAGAAGACCTACGTGTTTATCTGGTTCTGGTTCTGGATTTTGCTCGTCCTGCTCATCGGACTGATAGTGTTCCGGTAAGTGTTAGAAGCTTCTAAATTTCGTTATTTTCAATTCTGTATACTAATTGATTTTGCATTTATTCGTTGCAGTGGCTGCATTATCTTTATGCCGAAATTCCGGCCCCGCCTCCTGAACGCCCGCAATCGCATGATTCCGATGGAGATCTGTCGCTCACTGTCCCGCAAACTGGACATTGGGGACTGGTGGCTCATCTATATGCTGGGTCGCAATCTCGACCCGGTCATCTACAAGGACGTGATGAGCGAGTTTGCCAAGCAGGTGGAGCCCTCCAAGCACGATCGTGCCAAGTAGACCACATACATACGTATATGAGATGATGCCCCGATATGCCGTTCGATATATCAACCACCCTGCCTATACTAATAGTCCCCATCATTTTGTCCGAAACCCGAAATTCCGAATTCTGTTTTGGATTTTTATTTTTATTTAGCACAAATCATACTACTTAGTTGAAACTCGAGACCAGGACAGGGCCACGCCCCCAACGCCCCGTTGGTAGTTCTGTGATTAAGCCCTGACCTTTGAACCCCTTCCCGAATGAACCCACTTCCCATCCCCTGCCCACGCCAAAAGCTATCATAAACATGGATTAATCAATGATCACAACTCGAATCGCTTGGCAGAAAAGACAATCCTTTTATTTTAATTTTTTTTATTTTTTGATTTTCCATCAATTATAACAAGACAAACAAACAAAAACCAACAAAAAAATGATGAGATTTTCCTTGTGTTTTTTTCTGCAAACAAAATCTTTTTTTTTCCTAATTGTAAAATCTAATTTAATACTTAGTTCTTATCTATAAATAGAAAACATCGCTAAAAAAAAAAAAGAAGTGAACCCCCAGAAAAATATGAAGAGATACTATTTTTGCATGATATGGAGTAATGTTTGAATGAATCGGAACCAACCGAAAATATAATAACAAATAAATATTGCTTTGAGTCTTTCATAATATAATATTGCTTGCATTACACATAAAGTTTTTTGGGGATAAAACTGAGAATTAAATGCGCTACGTTAAGTTTATTGTGTAGTTTTAGGCGAGAATTGCTAAGGTTTTATATGAAACTAAAATATAATATGAAATAAAAAACTTTTTACAACTGGCTAAGATATGACATTTTTATGTTCCCATCTTCAGTATTGTTTTTCCATTGTTGTGCGCATAAAAAGCAAACTTAACTTAACCATCTAAGCATCTAAGCAGTGAGTACAAAAATATTTTCAGTGTTTGCAAAAGTTGTCTCCGCTAAATCTGAAGGCATGTGGCAACACTAAATACCTAGTAGAGTTCCAGGCCATTGTGGTATTTTTTAGGCACATTTTCTGTACTTTGGTATGCATCTGGTATATTTCTCAGAGGAGAAATAAATAAATAAAAACTTAATTAGCTAGTTGAAGTGTTTTGTTAGCTGCAAAACGCAAGCCCAACGAGGATAGCAGAACACAGTTGCCGAAAAGGAAGAGTGTGGGATCTAAACTAATCATCAGCAGACCCACCCCACCTATTAATCAGCCGAAAAACCTTGAATTCCCTGGAGAGACCGCTGGAACAATGGGCAATAAACAGATAAAACAACATTTGGAGACGGCCCAGAAGACGGGAATCCTGAAGATATCCTTGCAGCGGCTGCAGGAGTTCCCACCGCAGCTCAAGGCCTACCCGAACGTCCTGAAAACGCTGGATCTCTCCGAGAATCGTTTCGAACGTGTACCCGACGAACTGGGCAAGCTGACGCTACTCAAGCACCTGAATCTGAGCGGAAATCGATTGGTGGAACTGAACGAGGTGGTGGGCGAACTGGCCAAGCTGGAGGTGCTGCTGTTGATGGACAATATGCTGACAAGGCTGCCCAAAACGCTAGCCAACTGCACTCACCTGAAGACCGTGAACCTGAGCAACAACCAGCTGAAGGAGTTCCCCTCCATGCTGTGCGGCCTGAAGCAGCTGGATGTCCTGGATCTGTCCAGGAACAAGATCACCGATGTGCCCGCCGATGTGGGCGGACTGTATGTGACCGAACTGAACCTCAATCAGAACCAAATATCCTCGCTGGCGGAGGACGTGGCCGCTTGTCCCAAGCTGAAGACACTGCGCCTCGAGGAGAACTGCCTACAGGCAGCGGCCTTCACACCCAGGATCCTCAAGGACTCGAAGATCTGCAACTTGGCCGTCGACGGCAATCTGTTCAACTCGAAGCAGTTCACCGATCTCGATGGCTACGATGTCTACATGGAGCGCTATACGGCGGTCAGGAAGAAGATGTTCTAGATTTCATTCAGATCAATTTCCCCTTTTTTTTGTGTGTGTATCCCAGCCTTTATTTATCAGCGTAAACTAATATAATAGCTTAATTCAATATGCGTAAAGTGTAAAACGTTACGAATAAAACGAAAAAAGACAACTTCAACAAGAGCAAGCTATTCGTTTCGAAAATGGTAAGTGAAAAAAGATGAAACAATTTAAAAATCATTTTTTCTTTGTTCAAATAAAAAGTTACGACTAATTGTATAATTCAGCTTCAACGTAATCATCGATGAAAACCATCTAGGTAAATAGAAAACAAAACGCCAGCAAGGAGATCACAGCTTTCCCCGCATCATGGGCAACAAGTGGTTGTGGAAGGACGAGTTGACGGGCTCCTGGTTGACCGGATTCCTGCGTGCCTCCTCCATTAGTCGCTCGTACACCCGGCCATCGTGACAGCCCAGCGTGGAGCCCAGGACACGATCGTGGAAATCGAATCCATCCACCAGAGCCACCGCATTGGGCCGCAGCTTGGCCAGCAGCTCCTCAAAGCGACGCTCCACGAAGCGCAGTTGGGTGCCAGTGATGCCGTTGTTCCACCGAAGCACGCATCCCGACTGGCGCAGGAATGTATCGATGACGAAGAGCTCCACCAGTTGGCCCAGGACAAGGGAGATATTCGGGCTAAGATCGCCCTTCCGTCGAAGTGCTTCCAGTTGCTCCAACGCATTGCGTGTGAAGAATGCGTGAGCATGGGCTATGGCTGCCGAGGTGAGCTGCCTTCCAGTCAGATTGCTGGCCATCTCGGCACTCACTTTGCTGGATTGATGCATTTTCTGGGTCTGCCAGGCCTGACGCACTTGCTCCATGGCTGAAATTTGCAGGGCTCGGACACAATTCGCAGTCAGATTCTTGCCCCAAGCCAAGCGGGCTGTATCCCTCAAATATGAGACACTGGAGGGCATCACCTTCCGCTTCAAGCTGTCCACATACTGGCCGACCAGGTAACGAGCTGCCTGCAGCAGGAGTACCGTGTACTCCCCCTCGTAGGTGTATGCGGCGGTGGCCAGACCATAGATGCTATCGAAATTCGCCGAGGAGAGGAATCCGTGGCCCCCGCAACTCTTTCGCAGCCGGTCAACGCCCTCGCTGGCCTCGTCGGTGGCCACCGCCTTGAGGCAGCAGCTCAGGGCGTGCAGCTCCGGCAGGGAGTTGCGTTCTGGCGTGCTTTCATCCTCCAGTTGGCGGATAACCTCATCGTAGAAGCGCCACAGCCAATCGGACACCAGGCGATAGGACACCCCTCGTGCGATTTGCGGTAGAATCTTTGCCTGCTGTGTGATGTGATCCAAAATGGAGACCTCCGGCTCATCGTTGTTAATCCGGCTCTGGCGACGCACCACGGAATACCTGAGGGGAAATCAAAGGCATAGATCATTGTAGCACTCAAATGTATGCGTGTCAACGTTAACATAATGATAAACAAAATGTTATCTAAAGAACCCTGGACGCACTGAATGTGTTTATGGGGTTAAAAACATCTATGATAATCATAATCCCCAGAAGCCATATAATCACCTGGTGGCTATGGTGGCACCCTGGAGCAGTCCAAAGAGCACATCCTTCAGGATAATGACCCGCACATAGACCATTGTGCCGTAGAGCAGGAGCGGAGGTCTGCCCTGGACGAAGGTGCCATCGGTTAGGACCTGGGCGTTCTTCATCAGCATTTGATTGCGGGGTATTCGCACGTCGTGGAGTCCCAGGAAGCCGTTGTTAACGCCATTGCCCCCCAAACGAGGACCGATGTCGCCCACGTCGACTCCAGTCAGCGGTTCGTGTGTTCTCTCGTCCCTGATCCTCACCACAAATGATTGCAAACCATAATGATTGCCCTTCACATACAGCTGGGCGAGCACAATGGCCACATTGGCGGTATTACCGAGTCCGCCGGGCCACCACTTATATGAACTTTGCGTGGGTGTGTTCAGGATGAATTCCTGCGTAAGGGGATCGTAGTCCGCTCGGGTTTCCAAGCCGCGGATAAAGCTGCCGTGGCCCAGTTCCGTTTGGGCATAGGTGCCTAGGACGCCGTCCATGTGCCAGGCTCGATTGAGCCACTGGGCCTGCTGTTCCTCGGTTCCCTGGCTCAATAAGGTAGTCATGAACATGGTGAAGTGCACCCGAAGGGGAAAGCTCTGCTGGAAGAGGGCCGTGCCCACGGATCCGGAGAGTAGCATCCGAAAGTCCCTCAGCATATTGACACTAAGCTGGAGTTGTGGCTGCCTCTCCCGCTGCCATTGGCGCAGCTTGGCCAGGAAGCGGGTGGATCGGGCCACGGTCTGCTCGTAGCGCTCCTTGTAGGACAGACAGCTCGGATGCACTGACTCCGCGAAGTCGGGATCAGCATAGAAACGCCTTTCCAGGGTGCGGCGCTCCTCCAGCAGCAAAGAGCCACCCGCCCACCAGCGGGCAAAGTCCTCGCTGTCCAAGGTGGCCGCCGCCCGCTCTCTCTGCAGATCCGCATTCACAGACATGATCGCTATATATGTATCTCGTTCTGGATCTCGCTTAACCCAGAGTTGTACTTTTCTTCGGGATTTCTCAACTTCTCCGGCCGAACGACTCGGTTACACTGAGCAATTGGTGGCTGCAAGAAAAGTTTCTGCAGTTTGAAACATGGCAGCCAGGTCGCCAAAGGCGGGTATTCGAGGGGAATAGTATTATTAGTAGTCCGAAATGAAGTCCAGATGAATTTCCAATTGTTAACTGGAAACTATTGATACATTTAAGAACAGACATACAGGATACAGCGTATAATCAATTACTTATGCATTTTCATTGCTCACCTGGGGATACATATGTACATATATGAACATATACTTTTGCAGAAGGGATTCCCCTTTGCATGGTCGATCCTGTCTACGCCTTTGGAGTCCCACCACTGCCTCTCTTCGCGCTCTGCCCGCTGTTGTTGCTGCACTGGAGTCACTGAACTGAGAATTGAGCCACTCTCAAAGTGTGTGCGCTCAGGGTGAACCAGATTCCGTATTGAAAACCAGTGAAATAATGAAAGTTGCTCAAACTGCATCCTTTTTTCGCGAGATGCACTAATGATATTTCGCTTGCGGATCTTAAGTTGTGTGTATACACGGAATTTTGTTTTCTGATATTAGCCAAAGTACTTAGTTGTGTTGGTCCACCCTAATCCAAGATCGGGCAAAGTGCGTAAAGATCTGATAAGAGAAGATACTCTTACTATATGCCAGTTTTTTTGTTTTGACACAGATAGGGAAATCGTAAATATTCCTTGTTGTTTTAGTTGTGCAGCAACCACAAAGCTCAACAAACAAATTTTCGATTTTTTACAATAACATTATATTTCGTGGATTTGTTTTTTTCGGCATAATGTTCCTCAATCTATTATATTCCTATGGACCATTATCAAATTGTTTAAAAATAGAAACTATAAAACATGGAAAGAGAGCTCTGAAGCCGAGACTTTTCGAGTAATTCTCAATTTAAGTTTCCCGCTCTTTAAAAATGCCGTATATTATTTGTATGCCCATTACTCGTAGAGTAAAAGGGTATACTAGGTCCGTTGAAAAGTATGTAACAGGTTACCGACAGAATATGTATATATGTTCTTGATCAGAATAAATAGCCCAGTTGATCTGCCCATGATCGTCCGCCCAAAACTGTTACGCCCACGCTTAAAACAATTTGTTAAGATTTCTTTTCGTTGTATTATTTTTTTTCCCCCAATTTCTACCTACATTCCAGATAATGTTAAAATGTCTCGTTAGCACTTCCACTAGCTGATAGGCGTGGAACTTGACTATAGCATTCTCTCTTGTTTTTACTATAAATCAATTACTATACCAAAATATTGGGTAACTAATTAATTTTATAATAAAATATTAGCTTAGGAATACCCCTATGAAGTATTGTTTAGCGTCAAAGCTCGTAGACTGTGTGACCAGCTGGCTGAGTATTTTTGTGGCGCCCGACGAATGGTCACACTGCCGGCCAGCTGATTGCCCGCGTGCAGATTTTTTGGACTTTATTTTCCTTATTTGGCTGTTGTTGTTTTGGGCCGCCGGTACCGCTTAGCTTTCTGTCTCCCTCTCTTTCTGTCTTTCTCTCTCGCTCCCACCAACGGCACCGCCATGGGCAAGAACACGAAGCGCAACAAGAAGACGAAACAGCAGCTGCAGCAGCAGCCGCCACAACAAAACGGAGTAACTGCATCCGCATCCGGAGCAGCCAGCGAAGATTTACAGGACCAGCAGGCGGCCAGTTCGTTGCCCAGCCTGAACGCCAAAAAGAGGAGCCAACTGAACAAACTAATTGAGGAATTACTTGATTTAGTTGAAAAGCAGCCGGCGAATCCCAACGAGGAATGGAAGCAGTACGAGCAGCTCCAGCAGCTACTCAACCAAATTATGATTCTGGAAGAGCCACTCAGCCAGGCTGTGTGTCCGCAGATCACCGATTCCCCCGACGATCAGTCCCGTCTGGCCAAAGTGGAGGCCTTCAGTGCGTGGGCCAAAGATGGCGGAGTACACAGCGAGGGACTGGAGATAGCTATCTTTCCGGGCTACCAGCTGGGTCTGCGGGCCACTCGGCCGCTGGCCAAGGAAGAACTGGTGCTGACCGTGCCCCGCAAACTCATCTTCTCCGAGGAAAACAACTCCGATTGCCGTCTATTTGGCAAAATGCCGCAGGCCACCCACTGGGTCTACGATCTGGTCATCGAGAAGATCCGTGGCGAGTTCAGCGAATGGCGACCGTACATTGATATTCTGCCCGCGAAATACAGCACCGTGCTCTACTTCACCATCAAGCAGATGGAGCGACTCCGGGGCACCGCCGCCTGCTCCCTGGCTCTGCGTCAGTGCCGCGTCATCGCCAAGCAGTACGCCTTCCTCTACAGGTACGCCCACACCCTGACCGAGCCGAGCGACGGGAATAGGAGCCATCCGGGCGAAAGAGGCCTCTTCTTCACGCAGCACGGACTCTGCTACAAGCTCTACAGGTGAGTTTCTAGGATGGGATAAGAATAGCTTAAGATACCTAAGGGAATATCGAGGTACAGGCAGCGGTTCCCAAAAACTTGGAATAATTAGTGCAGTGGGAGCTTAGAAAACATCCCTCTTTTTAAAGTAGGCTATAATAACAATTAATATGATTCTGTACAGTGAATATGGCTTAAGGCCAAGTTTTCTTCCCTGAAGATCTCTTCAGTTGGCATAGAAATAGATTTATACCTTTCCGGAATTCCATTTTTAAATCCTGCCCGTGTGTTATTCTTTTCTTGAGTGTGTTTTTTGATTAGATTGGGCTTGTTTCTTCGGCAGAGAAGCCGCTGAATCTGCCAGTTGTCCTATTGGCCATAAATTACATGTACACTTACAGCTGGTGCTGTTTGTTTTCGAGCGAAAGTAGATGCATATGGCCAGATTGCCCGACCATTGTTGACCTTCCCGTCTGGCATTGTGATCGCATTGTTTTGCCGAAGATCTATTTACGGCTCGATCCGCTTCCACTTGGGACGGGTGGGTCATGGTGCACTGGGATTGGTCTGGTTCTGGTTCTGGTTCTCCACTCGCTTCTGTATTTATAGTGCCGCGATTTCGACACCAATCTTCGGTTGTGGCCGAAACCCCAAACGAGCCGCTCAGTCAAGTGCTTTCGAAATGCTTGAAATCTTTGCCACAATTTGTTCTACATTTTATTTCTCAAAAAATCAAATTGAAACTTATTTACATACATATTTGAGCGTGCTTAAATGTATAATTATATTTATATATATAAATATATATATATATATGTATATATACTGTCGCCAGATGTTCTACTGCCTAGTGAGAGGGGCGGGGTTGGTAACAAAAATCAGAAATCAAATCAAAAATAAAGTGCCTGCACTACGAAATAAATACAGGTGTTTCTTCTATTTTCCTTATTGATTTTTGCAGTACTTTTTGAGCATTTAAACTATTTGTGTTGTTCTTGCTTTTGTTGTTGATATTTGTGTGCTAATGACCACGCCCACACAGCGCCCATTTATGCCTTGCCTTGTTCTAATTTCAATTTAATTTTTGGTATTTTAGTCAGTGCCAGAAAGAAGTTTGCTTCGGTTAAATCGTATCGAACACAGTTTTCCTCGTAATTTTCTTGTTTTTCTCGTAATTTTCTCGTTAATATTTATTGTCCTCATAAATGGTTTTATTTTGCTCTCTCGAATTTCAATATTCATTCGATTTGGGCTTTTTTCGGGAAAGTGTCTGAACACAACTGTACTTTGTTTGGCTAAGATCCTGTTCTGCTCACTGTATTTAAGTTAGTTTTCGTCCTCATCTTGTGCTTAAGAAACCCATTTGAATGCCGTGTGCTATGATTTAGTTGATAGAGTCGCTTTAGTTGATGGTTCATACTCGTACACTAGGTCTAGATAGTAGGAAATGATGGTTTTGCCGAGCTTAGAGACTAGCAACAGTGCGCGCCATAAACGTAGGGCGGATTGAGTTAGGTTTTGCGGTCTACAACTAAGAATGTGTTGCAGAAAATAAATAATGTAAAAATAACTCACACAAAATGGAGTATACAGTTTAGTTTCAAGTTTGGCATGAAAATCACGTAGACAAATTTCTAAAATATTAAAATATTTGGAAAATGAACACAACTTTTGAAAACTGTATGTCTGCACAATCGTTTTAAACCTTTCCTTACAAAGCGCCTTATGGCCATGCCACGCACTGTCTAAAATGTGTTTTCTAGGTTTGTTTTTGTTAGTTTTACTTTCTCTCACAGAATGTTCCTCTAATCGAGTTCAAAAAAATTCCACCTCCTACCTGCTTAAACTAATTAATCGACTAACTTTTGCTCCTTCGCGTTAATTGTGTGTTTGTGTGTGTTGGGGGGATGTTTTGTGTGCGTGTGAGTGTGTGTGTTGAGTGTACATTTATATAAAACTTGGCCTAAACAACGGTTATTGTTACTAGAGGAGCCTACTGCCTATTGCCTAATTGTCGAAGGATTTGCGCAGCGTGTCGAATAGATATTCCTGCACCTCCGGCGAACTGGGATCCATGGTGTTCAGCTTCTGTTGGGCGCTTCTCAGCGAAATGGCCAGGCCACGCCCACTCATCGCCTCCGGAGGAGCAGGTGGCTGCGCCCCCGTTGTAATGGTGGTGTTCGTGGTGCTATTCGTGGTCAGCGAAGTGGCGGTGCTCAAGGTGGCGGATCCATCGCGGGCAAAGAGCAGGGAACTCTGGCGCTGCAACTGATGGACGGGCGTGCAACAGGCCACCGAAGTAGATATGCTGGTTATGCCCGTCCTTGAGCCCGATCCTGATCCAGCTCCTGAACCTGAACCTGAGCCGGATCCAATGACCAGCTCTTCCATGTGCTGGCGCATCGAGGGACGACGCGAAGGCTGCACCATCTGCGGCAGCTTGCTCTTCATCGCGTTGTAGGTGCGCAGGTAGCTGCTCTTTCTCCTGCGCTGCTGTTTCCATCGGCAGACGACGAAGATGACCAGGAAGGTGGCCAAGGCGGTGACCACTATCGCCGTGCTGGCCACGATCGCGGACTTGATCCCGGATGGCATGCTGGCGTACAAGCTGCTCAAGTGCTGCTGCGATACGGCGGATGTGGCTGCCGCTGCAGCAGGACTGCGATGGAATCCCGGACCGGAGAGCTCCAGATCCAGGAGATCGTGTGCCCGCGCCACCTCATTCTCGATCTCATCGATCACATCGTTATTCGGCGGCATCTGGCTGTTGTCCATCATCGAGGAGGAGTTGCCGCCATAGGGACTCACGCTTAGATTGATGTCAATGCTGTTTGGCTCCGACTCTGCGTTGGAGTCCGCCTCCTGGGAGCTTCCGTCGAGCAGCAGTCGGGGCGGAGGTAGAAAATAGGGATTCCTCTCCTCGGTGGCCGTGGCCAAGGAGGCGAGTGCCAGGGTCTTCCACGACGGGAAGAATCCCAGCGACTTCTCGCCCCGTGAATTGATCGAAATGGTTCCCGTGCCCGCTCCAATGGTCGCCGATGAGGAGGATGTCTGTGCGTAGGCGGGACCTGAAAGGAAAGCATTTGAGCGACAGGAAGCTGAACGAGATTAAGGCTGAGCAGCGGGGCGAGAAACGGAGCAAGTTGAGTAGTCATCGTAGGCATTTTGAAAAGGTAGAGGGAAAGAATCATAGGGCAGCTGGCAGTCAGGGATCTTAAGGGCTATGTAAATCAAGTTAACCGACAATTATTTATTCCATACAATGTAATACTATTTGCTAATTGAACTTACGGAAACTATTTGGTTATACTTTATTGTTTTGAGGGGCTTAAGCCAACTACTTCAATGGGGCTTTCAAAGGGCCTTAAGATCTTATTAGATGGTGTTGCTATATGTGGAAGCCCGCGAAGGAGCAAAATACCTCAGCCTGACCTTTCACTTCTACTGCCACTGCCCCCGACCCCTCTTACTGCCCCTCTTCCTGCCCCGCCCCTGGCCTCCACCAATCGCTGGCGTTGCTGGCGCAACCTCAAAGCCGTAATACCTCGACTTCCCATCGGTTTGACCTCGTCGTTCGGCTCGATGTCGATGATGGAGGTGAAGTAGCTGGAACCCTGCGAGTCCGTCTTGATCTCATCGGGCTTCACGCTCTTCAGATCCATCAGATTGAAGTGCGGAAAGTTCTCGAAGGCCGTAACAATGTCCATATTGTCCTGCAGCAGGACCTTCTGGCCGGGATAAAGACGGGAGTGCTCATCGCCGCCGTTCACAATGGTGGACAGATGCAGTTGGCTGGAGCCGCGTTTCCGGTGCTCGATCAGCTCCTCCAGGGTCATGTTGCGCTGCTCCAGAACCTTAAACAGTCGGTTGCCCGACCGCCGATCCTCAATGAGTTCCAGTAGATCGGTGCGATCGTCCACGTCGTCTATGACATTCAGCTGCGGTGGCTTTGCCGCCGCTAAAGCGGGTGGTGGTGCATAGGACGGTGGTGGTGGTTCATAGGAGGGAGAGGGAGGTGGTGGAGGAGGAGGTGGTGCTGCTGCTGCAGGAGTGGGTGATCTGGCTGGTGGTGCAGGTGCAAGTGCTGTTGGTGCTGGCACGCGAGTGTGGTGCGTGTGACTCTCCACTTCGTCGAAAAAGTTCTCCAGCTCGTCCTCGCCGTAATTTAGTTCTTCGCTGTTCTTCTGGGAGGATGTGGTGGATGTTGTAGAACTAGGTCCAGCCTCAACCAGATCCACCAGCTCCTCACTACTGTCTCCGTTATTGCCTCCAATAAAGTTGTCCTTTAATCGCTTTTGATTCTCTTTGATGCTAGAGTTTCGCAGACGATAGCGGGGATTTCCGGGTGCAATGGAGGGAGCAGCTGGTGGTTCTGGCGTCTCGGTGGGCGGAATGCCTTCTCCAGACTCTGCTTCACTGGAATCGGGCTCCACTACCTCAAGGCTCTCCTGGTTCTCCTGACTCGGTTCCTGATCCTGCTCATCTTCCCGTTCCCGTTCCTCCGAGTTTTCCCTATCCTCGTCTCGGCCTTCCTCCACGTTATTGAACACCGTGGTGCTAGTGGAGTAAGCGGTGCTGGTCTCCATTTCCTGAGTGGTGGTCACTGCCGTTGCTGTGGTGGTGCTAGTGGTGCTGCCAGTGATCGGCTTGAAGAGTCCCGGTGGCTTTAGAGTGGACCGCAGATGCTGCCGCTTCTTGTAGAGTGGCACCCGGGTGGTGGTGCTAGTGGTGCTTGCACTTGCGCTGGTGCTGGTGGCCATGGTGGTACTGCTGTGACCATTGATGCCACCCAAAGTGCGTCTTGTGGTGCTGCTCTCCCGCGAAGAGCTGCCAAAGAGCTTTAGGCGCTGCAGGGCGTTGGGAAATTTGGCCTTGTTTTTGGCTATCACGGCTTCATCCTCATCGTTACCAGTGGTGGTGCTAGTGGTGGTATACGCAGCAGGCAATCGCCTCACACCCTGTTTATTCTGTTGGTTAGACGACTTCTTCGGGGGATCAGCTCGGGAGCCAGGAGAGGCATACGTGGAGGCTGGCGGGGCAACGGCTGTTGTTTGCAGAGCCAACAGAGCATTCTGTTTGCCCTTGAGCAGATCGTCCAGCGACAGATTCTTCTGCTGCAGAATTTCACTGAGACTCAGGCCTCCGGAGTTCTTCAGGATGTTCTTCAAATCCACGGATGTCTTAGTGGGCGCAGCGGCGCCAGCATCGAGCATGGGTTCCTTTTTGGCCTGCCCATATGGACGGCGATAGGCCTTGCTGGGATTACTGCCCTGCGGACTGGCATCCGTGGGCTCCACTCGCTTGCGCTGCTTCTCGCGTTCGCGATCTCTTTCGAGGGCAGCCATGGGTTCCCTCACCAAGGGTTGATTCCTTCTGCGCAGAGCATCTGCGTCATCCTCCACGTGACCGCGCCAGTAGGCAGATGTCGCGTCTGGGCCAGAATCCTCCTCCGTGGCACCCATCGTGGCCAGCGGAAGTTGGGGGCGTCGTTTCCGCTTGCGAGTTGCCAACTGAGCGGTGCGACGACGGCTGGATGAGGTAGCAATTCCACTTCCACTTCCACTTCCGCTGCCATCGCCCGAGCCCTTTGAATCCTCCACAATCAAGGAGACACCTGTTTGCAGCAGCTGTAAATAAAGAGTATTTATTTATCAAACAATTTGTTCCGAAGTGAATGTGAGAGCGTTGTTAACGAAATTATTGAGAATATTCTGGCTGCAAGTCCCCGCATCAGTTCTCTAAGTGTAGAAACCCACCTGCTCAAGTTATTCCACATAAATGAAGGTTTGATGGACGAGCCCGTGTCATCTGATTGATGGAATGTATAAATATTTGGATCGCTCTTCATTGACTTCCCACCAAAATCAGTTTCCCGAACATGCTTGTGAAAACCTACGCTCATTTCGGATTATTGACATTTAATCAAATGTCCGTTGTTTATGGGGGAAATCCAGCTGCACTCCTTTGCCATTTTCATTAGAAAATAAGATACATTTCCCAAATTTGATGTGTGTAATTTTCGTGACGTGCACGCAAGGAATTCGATTACCGAAATTGTATTCAGGAAATTCGTCGATAAGGCATTGTGGCATGTAATTAAATAGCATATATTTTCATTCAAAAAACCTTGGTCCATAATTAGAAAACTGGAGAAACTTGAGAACTTGAAAACTGGAGCCTCTATCCCCCGGGAGATGGGCGAAAAGGGGCGTGCCTCTGCAGATGGCTCGTGCCTATGTAATTAATTTTCAATTTTCGACTGGCAACCAAAGCCAGATAAAGATGCATAGCGGATGCGGGATTGATTATGAGCAGCCGGAATGCATGCATGCATATATATTATTCAGCCATGAATAATATAGGTATTTGTGCGCTTGGTATGTTTGCTTTTGATTAACTGCCGGCAAAGTCGATGGACATCCTTGTCATTTAATCAGACTAATGCATTATGGCATTCCCTTTGCGGTTTCACCATTTCGACCCCATCGATTGGCCAGACAGATGCCGAAATAATTGACCCCAAAGCCAGAAGGCAAACAATTTACAGAAAACTTGTGCGGGGACAACTCATTACAATGCCAAAGGAAATACAAGAAATCCTACTGGTGAAAACATGCAAACAATGCACAAATAATGGAGAACAGGCGCAATCGTTGCATTAGATCCGGAAAAACGAATCGAGTCGTCACGAAAGCCATGGTATGGAATCCAGACTGCAGCCCCCGACCATTACACGCATTTCTCCCACGTCATTTGCTGTGACATCTCTTTCGAGTCAGCTTTCTTTGCCATTTTTTGTTCCATCCTGTTCCATTTTCAATTTGGTCTAAGTTTCTGGCATTTTCCCGTGAAAAGGACACAGCCAAAAAGGGGTGGGAGGGGAACTGCTGGAGTATGCATGCATAATGAAGACGGACGAAGGCTGGGAAATAAGGAGACCTCACGTCGCCAATTGGTTTGTATCGTAAGAGTCTCAACTTGTCCGGTGAACCAATATGGCAAAGCCAGGCAAAACCGTTTGCCAGAATCATAAATCAACATTTTTTGTTGCCAGCAGATAGGTGGATGTGGAGGACATTTGGTATTGGAATCGAGGGAATTAGGAGATGAGTTTCACAGCAATCCCAATTACAGGATATAAATAAGCTTCCTGTCTGTTGCAAGCAAGTTGCTATTTGCATTTTGCATTTACACTTGGAAAGCAGCATTCAAAGGCGTGTTTTTGACACATTTTATTTAATTATTTATTTTGAGACGTAATGGCAGGCCAAAGTTTAAAGGCAAGAAGACCACAAAAGACGTCGACAATTCGAGTCACTTGAAAATGTCAGCTTGTAGAGTTTATTAAATCCGGATGGCAGGATGCCTGACTGGATGGCTGACTCACTTCCCTTTGTAAATGACAGGTGAGAAGCGCAGCTGGCATCATTCATTCTTGGTTGTTACCTCCAGACAACTCTGTCAATGAGGGAAAAAAACGATGCCGTTCTTGCGAGACCATAAACCCAGTCGATTTTCATCGATAAATGTCAGGGATACGTTAACAAAAGGCATCGTTTTCCCTATAAAGAATATACTTACGAAATTATCAGTCATAACTAGCTCGCAACATAAATTGTACTTCTCTCGTCTTTACTTGGACACAGTCAAGTGTTTATTTCTCACGCAAAGTCATAAACCTCTGAGAGATAAAAAATAGAAAACTCCGGTGCAACCATCGCCTGAAATTGCCTTTGTTGACAAAGGAAAATTTGCTGTACTAAACAACTTAACGGCGCATTTAAGTCCAGTTAGCCGATTAACTGCAGTAGGGAAGCATGAAAGTAGTAAGGCAGCAGACTCTTGAATCCTGATTAACTTTTTCCTAGGTACAGTCGCCACAAAGGGACGCACTCGCTCGGACCTTTCCAACACTGGCAGCTCTGCCACCTGATAAGTTATTACTTTTAATAAAAATACTCTGCCGCTTCTGTGAAAGCTGGCTGGCAAGACATAACAGCCAATACAAAGGATTCGAGAAAAAGTTTACAGCTTCTCTGCTTCTTTTCGCTGCTGCCCAGAAATAAATATGGCCAAGAGAGGGGAAAAAGGCGAAAAACTTACTGCAATGGCTCTTCTAGCTCTTGTCCATGGTGATTTCTAACAAAGTGAGTGGCGACTGCCACCCCAAACCACTTCAAACAAGTTGCTGCTTTTCATAATTAAATTGAAAAATTTATGCACAATTAAATGAAAAACTTTTCTTTGTGGCCGAACCAGCAGAAACCGCTGCAAAGCGAAAAAAGAAGCCGAAAATAGCCAAAACACAGGCAAAAAGAAATTCTAGAAACCAAGTCGACGAAATGGTACTCTGCTCTTTAGCTTAGAATATTCATCATAATATTATTTAAGAGCATTACCAGTTTGTTTTTTCATAACGTCTTTAATTGTATCTTGCAGATGGGCCGTTTCCACGGTGATGACCCGACAGAATTTGGTGCCCAGCGAAAAACAAGAATCACAGGACAGCCCTAAATTCATATCGGCTTTGATTCCGTACTGGGATATGGCGAACCATAAGCCGGGCAAGATTACCTCCTTCTATGCCGCCGTGTCCAGGCAACTGGAGTGTACCGCTCAGGAAGCTGTTGAGGCTGGAGAGCAGTTCTTCATCTACTACGGCGATCGGTCGAATACCGATCTTCTGGTGCACAATGGGTAAGCATCTTTGAGATAGGCAATATTATATGGTTATATTCATCATCAAATTTATAGTTTCGTAGACGTTAACAACCTCAAGGACTATGTTAATATTCGTGTGGGCCTGAGTCCCACGGACGCCCTGGCTGCGAAGAGGGCAAGCATTCTGGACAAGCTGAACATCCGGCACAACGCGGAGCTGCGTGTACTGCCCGCACCGGAGTTCATCTCCAAGGAGCTGCTGGCATTCGTCCGGGTGTTCAAGATGAGCGCCGAGCAGCTGGATCACTGGTGCAGCGACTTGGAGCGGGCCGGCGACCTGCTGCACATCGACTGCGCCCTGGAGACGGATCATGAGACACGAACCTGGCAGTTCCTGGAGGACAGGTTGAAGCTGCTACTGGCCGTCTTTGATAAGGAGATGCGGGAGGCCGACGAGTTGAAGGAGCTCTCTGAGCTGGAACTCAAGGATGGGGCCAAGTCTGGCCAGGAGATCGAGCTCATGCTGCTCCTGTATCGCCGTTTGGAGAGGAGCATTCTCGCCGGAGCTCTACAATACGCCCAGGAGCATCGCAAGGTCTAGGGATTTGAGCAAGGCACCCACAAAATTCGAGTGGCCATCGAAAGCGACATCAATAACTCAGTCTAGCATTAGCAAGTAGCTATCTATTTTTTTTTTACCATTACTTAACTTATTTTAACTGAAAGTTTTAGTCGACAGTTTTTGAAGTTGGATACCAAAACAATTTTTAATTCTACAACGATCGATTTGTTGTACATTGAGTCACGGAATAATCAGCTTGATTTAAAACTCGTGTTCGTCTAGTGTTGTCCGCGAATTGTAGTTTATAGCGTTTTATTGTTTTATGTTTGTTTATTTTATTAACTGTAATCCTAACAGTTTTAGTATTTTGGAATTAAAAATGAAGTCAAACAGCACCATGCCCAATTTTATAATTATGTCAAGGATATTTTACGACTAAATACATATAAGTGAAGTCAAACAAAAAAAAGTTGCGGTTGCAAATTCCCCTTTGATTCATTTAATTGCCCATAACTAATTGACTGCCAGACGTCCATCTGTGACAGCCCCGAAAACCAATCAATTTGCCAAACCAATCCCCCGCGCGCCACCGAACCATCACGCCCACCCACACCTGCTACCCTACATATGTACATATGTGCATATGTGCTGGCGGCTGCCTTCTGCCGTTGTCTGTGGAAGCAAAGTATTTAATTGCGCCCAATGTGTCTTTTCGGGGGTCAAAGGTCCGTGTCGGGACACGGGGGGACGGAAATTAAATTGTACATTTAAATTTGACAACGTCAAATTGATTAAACGAAATTCCTTTTTATCTCTCTTCGTGAATACGTCATTTTTACACATACAACTCGCTTCTTCAGCTGTGCGAACTTCGATGAACCGAACAAATTGAATTTTATAAGTAGATAACCTAGCCCCTTATAAAAAATGCGAGAACTTGGCAAAAAATTACCTAAAAGTGATTAGGATCGTTCGGTCAGGTTGTCAGCTGCAAAATACAGCCTGTTGCTTATCTGTGCGTCTAAACATCAACTTAAGTGAAGTTGCAACTTAAAAACCAACACAAACAAGGCAGAATGTTATAGTCGAGTTCCCCGACTATCAGATACCCGTGACTCAGCTAGTGGAAATTTACAAAATATCTAAAAAAAAATGAAGAAATGTCAAAACATTTTTCAAAGGTGTGACCGTGACAACAAACTTGCGCTGCGTCGATGTCTCTGGAAGCTGCATGCTTAATCTCAACATTCTAGCTTTTGTGGTTCCTGGGGTCAAGTCGTCCATACGGACATGGCCAGATCCACCTGGCTATTGGTCCTGATCAAGAATATATATGTGTGTATACTTTATATGGTCGGAAACGCTTCCTTCTGCCTGTTACATACTTTTCAACGAATCTAGTATACCCTTTTACTCTACGAGTAACGGTGGGCTGTACATTTTCGTTGGTTCTGGGCTGATCACGCAGTCATCCCGGAATCGGATTGAGCCATGTTATGGGAATTGGGAATCGACGTGCTCACCGAAACTCGGGGAACGACAACAATGCACTCCAAATTGCAGTTCCTAGTGGTGTTAATTATGGACCCAATGAGGATGAAGCCCCGATTCGGCCCCGATGGCGATGATTACGGGGGCGGCAGTGATGTGGTTGTGCCACAGGCATATATTCGGAGTGGGAGTGGAAGTGGGGGGGAACTTTGGGCTTTGGGCTTTTGGGCGGGGGCCTTGTCGCCAAATTGCACTGGCAAACACTTTGAAAGATGTCATTAAAATAGCTCGACTACCCACAAAAGCCTCCATATTCTTCCGTACCGCGCCCAATCCGCCGCCCATTCACCATTGACATTTGATTTGACACTCGAATAGCTGTTTTCCGTACTCAAATTTGGCGACACGCCGCCACCGCCGCCCTTTTTCGCCACCCACATTTCCCACAGAGTTGGCACTCAATTTTCACGCTCGTTGGAAAAGTGCAGAAGTGGGCGGGGCGGGGGACGGGGGGCCAACTATGTTTGGCCAGTTGATTGAAATATTTGAAATATCTGAAATATTCGAATGGGACGACGACACCGGAAACTCGGTCGCATCGATGTCATTTATCGTTATCGATTTTCGCCGCTTTTCTGAGCCATTTTCCTCCCTCTCACTTTGTATTCCGTTCGGTGCACTTGCTAATTGCTTTGCAACAATTTTGTTTTGTCATCCAAGCAATTAGCAAATGACAAATGCCCCAGCCACCGAAATCCCACTTTCGGTCGCCTGCAATTCAAACTTAAGCTGCTTAAAATGTATGCAACATGGGTCATAAAAATGATGACCCCCCATTCCACCGACCAAAAAAGCAAACCGACTTGTTTACCTTGCGTGTGCCATACACATAAAATACAGGATAACTTCAAAAAAAGCAGGGTATTTTCGAACTATTTGTAGTCCCTGCAAATGGTGTTTTCTAATACTAAATGGTATTTTCTTCCAATAAATAATATATACGTTGAGCTTACAAAATGATTTCCTTTTCATAATTACATGGAGTTTAAAAGACTTCTGAATTTATATTTAAATTTCCATTTAGCGAGTACACCCTGTTGCTGAATAAATAAATTCCAGAGTGTGGCTTTGTCTGCCATGTGTCCGCTTTATTTGCCCGGAAACTGTTGCCAACTGTGGAAAATGTGTTTTTTTTTCCTTTTGCATTTTGTTGCCATTTTTTGTTGGCCTATAGTCCTGAAATAAATCTACGCATGTTGTCGCACACACGCACAAACACACACACGCACACCAGCGCAGACAGCCACACAGACAGGGAAAAAGAAGGATACGCGGCCACACAGACACGTGGTTAGAGCCATGTTTGCTTTAAGCCATGCTTTGTTTCAAACCTCCCCCGCCCCCCTTTTGTGCGTATGTGTGCTTGTTTAAATGCCCCTTTGTGTGTGTGTGTGTGTGTGTGATTGAGTGTGCACGTGCGTGCGTGTGTGTGCATGACGCTTAAGCACTTAACCACATTTCCATAGATTTTAAGGCGATTTCATTTTCAACGCCCATTTGCATGGCAACCAATTGGCATTGTATCATTTCAGCATTTCATCATTGTGCTCACATAGTGCTGCTCAGCCTGTTGTTGCCCATTCAAACAGAGTATGCACAAATACATGGTGGTATTATTAAGTTATGCTCTTTGTTGTCGCTTGTCAATTGATTGCGTTTATTTGCTCAACTTAAACGTTTCGCAATTGGCTTAGTTTGCATTTGGACATTTGCGTAAGTCAAAACGCCAACCGGATGTGCGATTTCATTTGTGACTTACCATAAAAAAGACGAGCTGTCTATTTAAAATGTAATAACTTAGGTTTTTTTACTCACAATACTATGCTTGTTCCTTATTTACTTTATTAATGACAAATTTATGCGTAGCCAAATATATAAGTTGAAGCTGTATTCTCGTTTTTACTCAACCCGAGGCTGTCCTCTTAAGATGGGATGCTCCACGGCGTTCTCGCTTAAAAAGGGGGCGTGGCTGTTGCGCCCAGCAATATGATTAACTGTCGGCAATGGAGCGAAAATTGTTCCGCAGCTGCTTCAGCTTCGCCTGAGTTGTTGCATGTGTTGCATATGTCGCTGTTGCTGTTGCAGTTGTTGCATATTATTGCCTCGAGGGCGAGGTAAAGGCGTGAAGTGGGCGGGGCCATAAAAACAGATGGTAATCTGCGTAAGTGGCAGTGCAAGCAGGTGCTGCACCTTGCCCACGGAAATCAAAATGAGGAAATGGAAAATCTTAAATTGCTGCCTAGGTATTTGCACAAGTGTTTTTGCATGCTCGCTAAATATTTTGCCACATAGAAATTCGGTAGCTTTTAAAAATATTCTAAAATTCTGCGCCTCTTAAAACGAACTGAAATATTGTGTAGCTAGCAAAGCTTTAATTTTCCTAAGAGTGGCTAATGCTAGTAACGGTCGTGCAGCTTTTCACTTTCCTCATGCATATTCTCGAAGTCGAGAGAGTGGGAGCCTGTCAGTCGCTCCTAACAAGGTTAAGTTGAATGGAAACTAATTTGCATGGCGCGTGACTGTACCCCAGAACCGCCGCCAGAGTTGCCAGAGTTGCCAGCGTCGTGTTTGTTTGCAATTAACTCGGCCATTGTTGTCGACATTGTTGCAATGCCCACGCAGCGAGCGCTACTTATTTTATTTGCTAATTGCAACACTCAGGACGACAAGACGAAAGTGCTTGACAAGTTTAAGTTTGTTGCAACAGACAGCGGCAGCGATTCACAAATATATATACATATATATATGTATATACCTGTTACTATTTATATACACAGATATACTACATAGGGAAAAATAGAAGGCCGAGCTGCCAGCAGAACGGCAAACAAATTAAAAGTGACGCATTTTCCCCACTTCTCCTTCAGTCAAGTCCTTTCGTCGTTTTATTTTCTCCGCTGCCCAGTAATTCTAGGACTAATCAAGACGGACTCCTCTGATGCACCTGAATATCCGAGCAGCCGTGGGAAATTCCGCTCAGCTAATCGCCATAATTGAGGAAGAACACAAGAAAGATAGTGGCATATAATGTATTTCACCGTAAATGCTTTGTGATAAACAATTGGCTTCATAATGCCTATTGTGTGGGAAAAACTTGGAGTTAAGGCGAGGCGTCTTCGACTTTCTCTTATAATAAAAATAGATAAAAATCCAAAATACATACATTGCGATTGGTGGGATTGGCGAGTTAATACATTTTAGTAGAGCTCGCTTAAAAACTTAAAAACAATTCCAACTTTGTAGTCGTAAAGGGTAGTTCGTTTTCCACACTTCGCAGCGCACTTGCTCACTTACTCACTTACTTTGTGCCTCTCAGCGTTTTTTTGCACTTTGCACTAGCTGCAATGCACTACCATTGCAGTGGCATCCACATCGGCATCATTGGGGATCCAGCTGCATAAGCTGAAAACAAGAGGTCGCCGTGGGCGTGGCATTAACCCAAAAAGCCAGCAAAGCTGACGACGTTTGTTTTCCCAGGACCCTCGAGTTGAGTTGCGAAAATTGCGAGGCAAAGCCGCGCGGCTTAAGTGCAGCCAAGAAAGGCGAGGGAAAACTCATTGCTGTGCTTATTATTTTTGCATTTTCGCCAGAAAAAAATTAAGTTTACTGCTCAAGAATATTGTAAGCATTGGCTTACAGATCATACTTTGGGCTGGTACTTGCAATTGCCTGCTTAAAATTAAATTTCAAATGAATTCATTGCAATTGCCCAGCAGCAGTTAGTGTATCGCAATTTAAGCCAAAGTCGGCACTGATTTATTGCCATCAACTCAAAGTTTTCAATCCTCTCCGCAGGCCAATTATGCTTGCCAGCAGCCTGTCAAAACTTCCATATTTATCAACA